GCTTAATGTGGGAGTGGTATATCCACGTCCTGATCCTGTCCACCTTAACAGTCATAGGCATGGTCAAGATCATGGTGTGAAGTCCTTTTCAACAAGGTTCCAGAGTCTTGTGGTTATGTCCCTTAATCTAGACTTTGTAACCTGGTTCAAAGCAGTGGGAGTTAGGGGGAGGAGCAGACTCATAAATCGGGGAGACGACAGGTCAGAGTTGCTTCTGGACCCTATGGAGGGCCTCCAGTGGACAGGTAAGTCAGCATGATTGAATCCAGAAGACCTGTGAGAGCTGACAGTCTTTCTAAAAATGTAGAGTTTTGTACCTTCCAGTTGTAAAGGTCATTATTGGCAAATATGTCATGAACTATCTCCCCTGAGCATCTGACAGCTCTGTAGCCTCGAGGGATGAGGCCTTAGTACAGTCAGTCCTATGGGCACTAAGGGTCTGAGTGTGAGGGGGACTCCAAGTGGAGTCAGGAGAGTCAGGGCAGTCAGAGGCTGGTTCTCTCTCTGCTTGTGCTGCCTGGGCAGGGGCAGAGGCGGCAGGAACATAAGGAAGGGACAGAGATCCTTCTTGGGAGCAGAAGGGTAGAGCAAGGCAGGGGCCTGTGGCCATCTATCCTTTAAAGAAAGAATGTCAGGGAGTGAAGAGGCCAGTGCCAAAAAAGGTCTCATCCAACCAGGTATTACCACATGATGATATGTACTTGCTCCAGGTGGCCTCTGGCCTCACAGACTATAACCTTAACCCTATAAATGGTGGGGATATTAAAAGTCCCCTCCTCAGGCCATCCTACTTTATGGTGGGCCATTTGTTTATTATGATGGTTAGTTTGAGGGGACAAACAACTAGATCTGAGTCCTCTGTGACTCAGTGAAAGTTCTTAAAATGGTTCAAGACCAAGCTCAGTGGGGTGCTCTATACCTGACCTATCCTAGTAATCAAAGAAAAGTTTGTATGAGAGGACAAAAACCACAAACAGAATACACACAGACAGACACTGAAGGACGTTCCCAGGAAAATGAAAACAAAATGAAATGGCTATCTCAGACAGTCTTCCTTCTCTGTGCATGGGAGGCCTATAGACTTGCATTACCCCTGGCTGGGTGACAAAATACACACTGCTTTGTCCCTCTTAGCCTCCAGATTAAAACAGAAGTAGAAACACAGAGATGGACAAGACAAAAGATGACTGGACGCCTGGATTTACCCATTAGAAAAACACTCCACTATTTGGGTCATGGGGTCTTCAGCAAATCCAGGACAAGAGTCCCCAAATGTAAGGGTCCATGATTCACCAAAGAATGATGATACTCTGGACTCAAAATAGTATGGGAAAGCAAAGAGTGTTCATTTTATTCTGCAGAAGTTCAGCATGTTGGGTCTACCATTTACCAAGATGGAGATGCTCAAGTGAGCTCGAAGACCCAATTTAAAGCACAGTAGGGGAATTCCAGAGAGGGGTAGGTAACCTTTATCTTAATTGGTTAGCTCTTTATCTAGGGAAATTCTAAAACCTTTGCTGGGGGCGGTTGGTTAGGGGGCTGGAAACTGTTGCTGACCAATTACCCTTACCTCAGGCCAGGTGGAAGGGCAGCTACTGATGGCTGGGCAGTTTCTCATTGGCTGCCTGAAGCCTGGGGACTTTTCCAGTAACTGATTTGCCTACTTGCCCAGTTCTTGGAAATAGAGATGGAGGCCTAGTCTCCTGAACTGCCAGTTTGAAGGCTGCCATGGAGTCAGCCTCTCTCAGTTCTCACTGTTTGTTTGTTTGTTTGTTTGTTTTTTTAAAGATTTATTGTTTTATTTTGTCTATGAATATTTTGCCTAAATGTCTGCATTTATACCTTGTAAGTTCCTTTGGTTTGCAGAGCTCAGAAGAGGGTATCAGATCCTATGGAATGGTTGTAGGCTACCATATGGGTACTGGACACACACCAGATTCTCTGTAGAAATGTCAGTGCTCTAACCACTGAACCATCACTCATTTCTTGGTTTTTAAGTTATGCTTGGGGTAGTTTTCACAGGACTCATAAACCCATTAGCAGAGGTATCCTTTATGGCCAGTAAACACCTGGCAGTAAAAATGCTTGTTTTTCCTTAGAAATTTATAGAAACTCTTAGAAAATTATATAAACATATAGTTAAAAGAGTAATTACAAAGAACTCCCCACCCCCAATTGAGCTCTGGCTGACAAAGTCAGAGAGACTCGCCTGACTCTACTTTCTGAGTATAGGAATTAAGCCAAGAAGTAGAAGATAGTCATACCCTAGATAGGCCCCATGTGTCCTCCCTGATCATGCTCTCTCCCATGCTAAGAACATCACTACCCTAAATTTCATATTAATCATTTTCTTTCTTAATAGTCAAAGCTTTTTTTATATAGATATATCTGTACATCTATACAGGTTAAATTTCCATGATCTTTAAAATGCTCAGGACCAGAAGTATTTCAGATTTTTAAACTTGAGGGTTTTGTGATGTTTTGCATTTACAGATCATGCATCCCTGATCTAGAAATCTGAAGTGCTTTCAACACTGAAACTTCAAGTACCAGGATAATAAAATTTTCTGATTAGGAATGCTCAACCTGTAAGTGTTTAAAGCTATAAGAGTACTGGAGAAATGTCCAGTTTAAGTACACTAGCTGCTCCTCCAGAGTACCCAGGTTTGATTCCCTGAACCTACATGACAGCTCACAACCATCTAATTAATTCTAGGAGATCCAATGCCTTTTTCTGGCCTCCATGAGCACCAGACACACATGGGATACACAGACACAAATGTAGGTACAGAACCCATACACATAAAATACAAATAAATCTTTAAATAAATAATTGTGTATAAGCTGAGGAAGGGAAACTTGTGAATTTGAAGCCAGCCTGGACTATTATAGCAAGAGTTTGTATCTACATATGTGTTTGTACATATTCATAAATAAAGTCATAACCTATTTGTTTAGACCATCTTCCCTGTATGAATTCCTCACTCAAAACACTCAGCCACTTACAGCTAGAAAATGGCTGTAGCTTAGTCGTAGAATTCATGTCTACCAAGCATACTGGGTTCTACTCTTTGTGTTAAGAAAAAAATACTGGGCTGGAGAGATGTCTAAGAGCACTGACTGCTCTTCCAGAGGTCCTGAGTTCAATTCCCAGCAACCACATGGTGGCTCACAACCATCTGTAATGGGATTTGATGCCCTCTTCTAGCGTGTGTCTGAAGACAGCTGCAGTGTACTCATATAAATAAAAAATAAAAAATAAATCTGAAAAAAGAAAAAAATTACACTGAGTATGTACAGCTGTTTGGTTATTCCATAAACAATGCACTCTGACAGCAATTCACATGACATTCATTTTGTATTTGGTGTTAAAAGAAATCTAGAGCTGGGCATAGGGGTTGTATGTTATCTCAGCACTTGAGTGATAAGAAACAGGAGTATTGAAAGTTCAAGGCCAGCCTCAAGTCCATAATATCAAGTTCAGTTCCAGCCAGGACTACATGAGGTCCTATTCCAAACAAAAACAACAAAAATATCTTGGTCTAGTGAGATGACTCAGTGGGTAAAAACTCTTGTTGACAAGACTGACCACCTGAGTTCAATTCCCATGACCCACATGGTAGAAGGAGATAACCAACTCCCACAGGTTGTCCTCTGACCTCCCCATATATTTATGTACACACATGAATACACACACACACACACACACACATGCACATAACTAATATATTGAAATAGAAAATATATTCTGGGCTCAGTGGTACAAACTGTGTTATCTTAGTATAGGTTGTATGCAAATTCTGTACTACTTTGTACTGACCTTCCTTGGATTTTGGTATCCTTGAGAGTCCTGGAGTCAGTCCTCTTTAGCTACCAAGGGATGAAGGCATTCTTTAAACAAAAGTTAGATTTTTGTAACTTAGCTAAAAATGTCTTAACCTATTTATTCTATTGTCAGTGGATATTTACTTTTGTATTTTCCTCTGTTAAAAATGTTACTGTTCTGCTGGATGTTGGTGGTGCATGCGCTTTTTTAAAATTTAATTTTTTTACTTATTTATTTCACATCCCACTCACTTGTCCCCCTCCTGGTCACCCCTCAACAATCCTTCCCGCTCCCTCTCTCCTCTGAGTGGATGGGGATCCCCCTGGAAATCTCCCCAACCCTGCTACTCCAAGTCCCGACGAAGCTGGGTGCTTCTCCCACTGAGGCAAGACAGGGCAGCCCAGCTAGTAGAACAGCTAGCAACCGTTTTGGGGATAGCCCCATTCCAGTTGTTCAGGACCTTCATGAAGGCCTGCCTGCTCTATACGGAGAAAATCCTGTCTCCGAGAGAGATAGAGAGATGGGGGACAGACTATAATATCAAATAGATACTTTTGTATATTTATGAAAGTTCCTTTAAAGCACATACCTAGAAATGTATTTGAAGTTTGTGTGGTAAGTCTACATTTAAATGTACGACGTGTGAGGACAAACTTTCTCCAAGTTGTTGTACCAGTTTTCCCTCCCTCTAGGAGTGGAGAACTGCCTCGCTGCTCTCCTCTAACACTCCGTATTGCTGGGCTTTGTCAGCTTACCCAATCTGGTGGTTGTGAAACGGTATCTCTTTGTGGTTTCCATTTGCCTTTTTTCTGACTGACACGAAATTAAGCAGCTTTTCATGTGTTTAGGGACCATTTATGTGTTCTCTTCAGTGACACTTCTACCTATCATTTTGCAGGTTTTTCATGGACTGCTATTTTCTCATTGATTCTTAGTCTTTTCTGTTCCAGATGCTAGTCCTTTGTCACAGTTGTATGAGTTGCTGATCTTCTTTTTCATCCTGTAAACCTGTCCACCCAAGGAGAAGTGCCGTGAGCAACCCTGGAGAATGAAAGTCTCAAGACACTAGACACTGTAGTGACACCCTGTGGGTGTGCACAGAGCAGGGCCTGGCACTGGATTAAGTCGCATCACAGTACTGACTGCTGCTGACCTGTGGTGCTTGCCTTTGCAGGTGGAACAGGAGGATTTTGTAATGGAAGGGCATGGCAAGACTCCACCTCCTGGAGAAGAAAGCAAACAGTGAGTCACCGTTTATTAAAAGGGTCCTATTACAGATCCCCAGAAGCAGTTGGTTCAGGGTGCGGAGAGCATGTTTTCTGGGCTGTGTAGACGGTGGAGATCCTGCAGAGCATACCAGTTGCTTTGTTGATGCATTACTTCTATTTATAGATTAACTAGAGGGACAAGAAAGTTGGCTTTGTTGTTTTTCACACTTGGCTAATCAAAATTTATGTTCTGCTTAAGCAAAGGCTCTACAGCTCAGGATGTTCCAAATTGAACTAATTAAGTTTGGGTGTTTTCCAAAGAAAGTATGAAATGGTGCTTCCTTTCCTTAGCGATGTCTTCATGAAGGAGGCGCAATTAATGGACTGTCTGCACACTCCCCAAGTGTGGGTTTATCTGCATACTACTTCCTGAAATTCAATTCCAGTGATAATTGAAACTTCTGATCACTACTAAAATAAAATTTTTATCTGATGAAACAGGGGCTAAAAATACTGTAACTTAGCCAACATTCTCAGTAATTCAGGATTTATCTCTTCCCACTTCTGAAAAAGTGGCTGGTTTTAAACTTAAATTTGGGACCTTTGGTATAGGTTTTTAGTGACCACAAATAGGTCTTATTTTTCCTTAATCTGTCATAGAATTGAGAAAATGGTGTTTCAAAGCAGACTGGTTTTTCATATGCCCTTTTAAAGGAAAAACACTTAAGATGGACTTAAAGCACTGACATAACTCCAAGTTTTATTTAGATAGTAGTTTCCGAAATTGATTGGGATGGTGATTCATGAGATTTACCAAAATCTGTAAAGAAAACTCCTCTTCTTCATCTTTCTCCCTCTTTTTTTTTCCTAGAAAATAGTTTATTTTGGTAGATCTTAAGAAAATGATGTTTCCTAAACCCTTAGGAATGAATTATGCAGAATAGACTGCTGCCAGGAGGCCAGATTCATAAAGGGGAGTGCCTTGTCTTGTGTTTGTTGTGAATGGAAACCAGGAGATCTTCACAGCCCTTTAATTTGCTAAGCTAACAGTTTTAAAAATAGCTCACAGTATAAATCCTAACTTTGCTTCATTCTGTCTACTGCACTTTCATTTTAGATGAGCTGGTGGCATCAATTCCTCTTTAGGGAATTAGAACGCCAGACACCTATTTGGTTCCGTGAAAAGGGAGGAGAAATACTTCAGGTGATTTTCTCCATGGCTCCTACCCACACTTCTACCCCACAATATTGTCTTATAAAAATCACAGTTTCATTTGTCAAGGGCTTTCCGTATTCACAGTAGATACATGCCATCTTACTGGCTCAGTCTTTTTTTTTTTTTTGCTTTGTTTTGTTTTTTTTTCTTTAAAGATGTACTTATTTTATGTGTATAGGAGTTTTACCTGCATGTATATCTGTGTACCACATGTATGCCTGATACCTGCGGAGGCCAGAAGAGGGTATCAGATTCCCTGCAACCAAAGTTACACATGGTTGTGAGCTGCTCTTTAAATGCTGGAAATCAAACGTTTATCCTCTGGGAGAGCAGTTGGGGCTCTCTCTCCAGCTCCAGTGTCATTTCTACTTTGAGTATATTGTCTCCATTTTAGTCAGAGATCTACCTGTGTCATTACCACTCAAAATGGAATTTAAGATTTGGTTCCAGATTTTGCTGACTGTAAGGTGCTTACAGTATTATTCTGTCAGTCCTTTAGTTGTCCCTGAGCAGTGCTCCTGAAGGGACTGTGGTTAGCACAGTAACAGAAGTCAAGGCCAAAGGCTTATGAAGAATAGGAAGTTGGGAAAAAACAGTGAAAGGGCAAGAAGACTTCTTCCTGGACACAAAGGAAAGTTCTGCTCTTTAGAGGTCTAGCATCCGTTTCCTAAACAAATTTGTCTTTGTCTTCAAAGGCCTCTTTGGTAATTGTAACCTGTCCTGAGTTGGCTTTTTTTAGTGGGCAGGAATCCGTGAGGGACAGATTCTGCACATGTGTGTGTTCTGCTTTTAGAGAGTTTCAAATGGCACATCCAACTTAGTACCTTGTGATATCCTTACTATTCTTTAGCACATCAAACTTGAGTATCTTGTGATATCTTTACCATTCTCTAGAAGCCCCTGAAGCTTTGCTGTGTGGTTTGGTTCGGTGCTAAGGATGGAATGCAGGTCTTGCACTTGTTAGGTGAGCACTAAAGTCTAGTTCTACCCTTGCTTGTTTTTGTTCATTCTGGGTCTGCTCTGTTACTCTGTTGTGAAATAATTAGGCAGAAAAGTATCTTCTCTTCCTAACTATGTTTGCCCTCTGTGAGTATCAGGAGCAAAGTAGCTGTGTTCTTTTGTTTGAGGAAAAATAAAGTTTTCATTTCTTTGTTTTGTTGATTTTGTTGTTATTGTTGTTGTTTTGTTTCCTGTGGTACTTGTGATTGGACCTATGGCTTTGTAAATGCCAGGTAAATGCTCTGCCATTGTGGTCTGTCAAAAGTACTTGGCAAAAGCAGCTTAAGGAAGAAAGGATTTATTTAGGATCACAGTTTGAGGGAATCCATCATGGTGTGTGGAGAGAGAGTGTGAGGCAGCTGGTCACATCATGTCACACTCAGTCACCAGAAAGATGAATGCCAATGCTCATGTCATCACCTGTTGTCATTTCCATTCAGTGGAAGGCCTTAGCCCATGGATAAGGCCACCCGCATTCAGTGTGCATTTTCCCTCAGCTAAACAGCTCTGGGAACATCTTCACAGACACACCTCAAAGTGTGTCTCCTAGGTAATATTAAATCCAGTCAACTTGATGAAGCTTAAACTTGCCAGGCAGGTACTTGGTCACAGCTGTGAGGAGAAGCAACTACTACACATGGTACAGTGTATGAGCAAGTATTTGCTCATGCTGTGTTTAGAAAGGTCATCATGTAAGGCATGGTGGTGTACCCTTTTGATCCCAGCAGAGGCAGGTGGATCTCTGAATTCCAGGCTAGACTGGCCAGACACTTTTCATCATGCTTTTGGAGAGCTTGTTTCAGATAATGTTTCATTCACAAAGGCTTTTGATTTAGTTTTGATACTGTTTTTCTTTGACACTCATGGGAAGAGCATTTATTGTAAGTGATTTTCAAGCTAAGTGTTGGTTTTTCATGTGCTGATGGGTTTGCCCTCTTTCATTCTGTCCTTTTCCTTTTTCAGTTTCACTTTCTAATAAATCTTCATTTTGAACCTCCATACTGAAATTGACTCTCATCCTCAAAGGATACATGATACATGTCTCTAGTCTATTAAAGTCACTAAAGTGATCCAGTTTTTCTAGCAAATACTTATTTATTGAATCTATTAATTCTTCATTTGATGTTTTTGAAAGACCAAATATCTGAAAGCACAGTCTATTAAAGAGGTTTTTGCATAATTGTGTTCACGTCAGGTTGCTGTGTTGCCCAGTGTTCAAAGATCAGTGGTGGCAAGGTAGACTGCTTGGCTAGCATGTACCAGAGCCTTGGGTTTGATCCCCAGAACACATAATATAAATTGGATATGGTAATGCATCATGTATGAATCCCAGCACTCAAAGATGGAGGCAAAAGAATGGGAAGTTCAATGCCATCCTCAAGTCTACAGTGAGTTGAGTCATTTTTTGATGTAGAAGAACCTGTCTTCAACAACAAAATAGTATCAGCCTATGAATGAATTCATCTTATAACAAAGAACAACTCATAAAAATGTACTCATGGTCCTACCAGGGAACTCAGTAGGTAAAAGCACTTGGTACACAATTTCCATAACTTGAGTGCGAGCCCTGAAACCCATATAGAGGTGAAAGGAAGGAATGGCATCCCAAGTGTTGTCCTCCAACTTCCACATGAGTTATTCATGTGCATACCCACAGTCACTCACATATCATATACATTTTAATAGATAGATACCCTAGATCAGATTAAAGATCCCTAGGCTAGCCTTGGAACACAATAGTAGAACACTTACCTTGCAAATACAAGGTCCTCAGCTTAGTCTCAAGCAAAGCAAAGGTCCTGTTGCTGTACTATTCTTTGCCCTATGTTTAGCCACTCTATTTAACACTATGCAGACACCCATACAAAGGTATGTGCACACACACAAAATAACAATAAAGCTGATCATGGTGTTGTTGCCTTTAATCCCAACATTTGGGAGGTAGAAGCATGAAGATCTCTCTTGAGAGGCATGAGTATGAGGCTAGCCTGGTCTTTATACCAAGTTATAGGACAGCCAAGACTACATACGTAGAGAGATCCTTTCTCAAACAAACAAACAAGCAAGCAAGCAAAGGAAAAAAGAAAAAAGGAAGAGAGAAACAAAAAGAAAAGAAAATGTAATAAAACAAGCCTCTTTAAAATTCTAATTTATAAATATAACAGAGTCTGATAGTAGCATTCTAATTTCCAACAGTAATCTGAAGATTATTGGATCCAAGGTGTATTGGGATCCCCAGGTAGTTTGGGATTCTATTCTGCCTTCCAACTATGTTGAAGGTAAGACCATAGAAACAGAACTCACATTTTTCTCATCCTCCACCTTAGTTGCATTGTTTGGTAGCATTAAAATTAGTAAAAATTTAGAAACGCCTTTGCTTTAGTGTCTATAGTTTCCTTTACCTGGCAAACGGCAAGCCTCCTCCTTTAGTACTGTATTTAAGGGACTGGAGGCATAGCTAAACTGGAATAGCTCCTACCTACCATATGCAAAGCTCCTGCTTCAATCCCCAGCACCTAGTAAAACTAAGCTTGGTGGCCTGCCTCCATAACACCAGCACTCAGGAGAGAGGAGAAGGAGGACCATGTTCCACCACACAGTCAGTGTGACCAGGCCTGGGATAAAAAACCAACCAACCAACCAACCAACCAACCAACCAGACTGAGAATGAGGGAGGAAAAATGAAAAGAGGAAGAGAAAATGAAAACTCGGTTCAGAATTTTAAATCTGACCTCTGCTGTGAAATTTTTTCTCTCATTTCATTATGACACCATGATTGATTGATTGATTGATTGATTGATTGATTGATTGATTGAATC